TGCTTCTAGTCAAGATGAAATTACATTTTAGATTTACCTTCTCGCTTGGATACATATACCCTCCGACCTTAAACAATTACAACCCAGACAAAGTATATAAGACTATTGCCACTAAAGACATTGGCTATCAGGCAATGGAGGACAATCATCTCTGAAGGATGAGAAATAAGGTGAACTCTACTGTTGCCATATCTTGTTGTCTAGAGAAAGTTTTCAGGCCTTAGAGCAAGTAGAGGGATTGTGGGTATCGTCCATTGATCACCAGAGCCAAGAAGAAGAAGCTTCATGTAAAAAAAAAACAAAACAGGAAGGTGGAGTACTGCAGGAGAGAGAACCGTACATGAACTCTGAGATATGTAGAGTCCCCGTGAGTAATTTAGCTGAATACTGATCAGTACATGCATGTAAGAAAGCTACCAAAAGCTTGGAGGTAAAGACCCACCTAAAAAAGATTAAACAGTGCCCATGCCTCACACAAGACTGGACAGAGGACCTGTTTTCCACAACCAGAGCAGAACACCTTGTAATTGAGCAGGGTCTGCTGAGATTCTCTCTCCCTCTCCCTTTGCCCACCCCCCCCCCAGTCACATGCACTCTCTCTGTCTCTCAAATAAATAAATAAATAAATAAATAAATAAATAAATAAAATCTTTAAAAAAGAAATTTAAGCAAGACTCTAAAGGGCCAAATTGTGTCCAAGTAACCTATTTTCCAGAACAAGGCTCAAGAGTATTAATAGGATTACAAAATATCCATCTCCAAACAGAGTACTTTTCACAATGTCTTCTGCACAATTAAAAATTACCAGGAATTTTAAAAAGTTGGAAAATATAGCCCATAATGAGATAAACTAGTCAGTTGAAATGCAGAAGACAGAGATGATAGAATGAGTAGATAAAAACATTATACTGGTTGTTAAAGCTACATTCAATATGTTCAAAAAGTGAGAAGGAAGGTTAGACATGTTTGATAGAGATGTGGAAAATGAAAAAAAAATTACTCAAGCTGAATTTGTAGAGATAAAAATTAAATTGTTTGAGATTTAAAAATATCTATCTTGGATTACTGATGGATAAACATTTTAGAAGCAAAGGTCAGTAACTTTGAAGACATAGCAAAAGAAACTATCCAAAATGGAGCACAGAAAAAAGACTGAAGTAAATGTATTAGTGAAATGTGGGAGAATTTGCAAGTGATTGAAGAACTTGATGATGAGGGGGGAAGGAAAAATATTTAGGGAAATATTGGTCATTTATTTCTCTGCATTTGATGAAAACTATAAATACACAGATTCAAGATGCTCAAGAATGTCCTAATACAAGACACATAAAAACAAACAAAAAACTACTCCAAGGCATGTTATTTAAAACAGTGAGAAGGAAAATCTTAAAACAATCAGAAAAAAATAAGAAATAACAGAGGGACAAAGACAAATATGACACTAGATTTTTTTCTTCAGAAAAATGTAATTGAGAAAGCAGTAAAGCAGTATCTTTGAATTACTGAAATATATAGTCAACTCAACCACAATTATTTTACCCAGAGAAAAGCTTTCAAAAATGAAGGCAAGTAGAGTTTTTCAGATACATAAAAGCTGAAGGAATTCATCACCAGCAGACCTGTTTTAGAAAAATGTTTAAGAAAGTCCTTTAAGCTAAAGAATAATGATAGTAAATAGAAGCCTGTGATCACAAAGGATTGAAGAGCTCTGAAAATATTAACTATAGAGATAGACATGAAGCTATTTATTATTATTTAAATCTTTTAAAAGGAGGATTGGCCTTATTAGTAGAAATAACAAGGATAATTCCTTATTAAGGGAAAAATAGTAACAATGTATAAAATAAATTAAACCCAGAGCACAAAAGCCAGAAGGGCAGAAGTAGAAGTACACTGTTTTAAGGTTCTTACACTATACCAAGGTAGTAGTATATCATTTGAATATAGGCTGTGATAAGTTAAAGATGTTTATTATAAACTCTGAGCAATCACTAAAATGACACAACAGACTTCTAATTAATATTCCAACAATGAAGATAAAACAGAGTCATAAAAAAATTACCAATGTACAGTTGGCCCTTAAACGGCATGGATTTGAACTGCATGGGTTCGCTTACATGCAGATTTTTTTTGATAAATATAGTACAGTACTGTAAATGTATTTTGTGATTTTCTTAATATTTTCTCTAGCTTACTCTACTGTGAGAATATAGTATATAATACATAAATATACAAAATATGTGCTAATTGACTGTTTATGTTTATTGGTAAGGCTTTCAGTCAACAGGAGGCTATTAGTGGTTAAGTCAAAAGTTTATGTGGGTTTTTGACTGTGGGAGCAGGGAGTTATGTCCCTAACCCTTGTAATGTTCAGATATCAACTGTAACATAGAAGTCATAAAAAGGGAAAAATGAGTGAAGAATAGATGAGAAAAATAGAAAACAGAGACCAAAAGTATTGGTTTAAACCCAATCGCATCAATAACTGCATTAAGAAGAATGGTCCAAACACCCTAATTAAATGGCAGAGATTTTCAGATTGGATTAGAAAAGCAAAACAAACTCTATGCTGCTTATAAAAATGCATTTTAAATAGAGAGAATATAAAAGACTTGAGTAACTCTATCAACCAAATTAACTAATGGCATTTAAAGAATATTCTATCCAACAAAAATAGACTATGCATTCTTTTCAAGTGCATATCATCATTCACTGAGATAGACTATATTCTGGGCATTAAAGGAAGGCTCAATAAATTTAAAAGGATTCAAGTCATGTTTTCTTACTACAATGGAGTTAAATTAGACATCAATAACAAAAAGAGATCTGGAAATTCTTAAAATACTTGGATACTAAGTAACACACTTCTAAATAACCCATGGGCCAAAGAAGAAATCAAACGGAAAGTAGAAATATTTTAAATAAATAAAAACACAATATATCAAAATTTGTGGGAGATTTATAAGACCAAATACCTAGTTTGGACAAGAAGAAATTTCACATTACTGACCTGCTTTCACTTTGGGAAGCTAAAAAAAGAAAACACACAGATGAAAACACATTGATCAGAAAAAATAATATAGATCAGAGGGCAAAATAATGAAACAAAAAATATAAAAACAATCGAAAAATTATGTGAGTGGTAACTGGTTATTTGAGAAAATCAATAAAATTGATAAATCTCTATCTAGACAAAGTGGGGGGGGGGACAAATTCCCAGTATCAAAGAGAGGTTAAATCATTAGATTCTACAGATATTAAAAGGACAATATGGGGATATTTCGAACAGCTTTATGCCAAGAAATTTAACTGCTCAGACGAGAGGGATACGGTCCTCAAAAGATGCAAACTACGTCATTGACTCAACAGGAAATAGATAACTTGAATTGTCTTTTCTCTATTAGGAAATTTACATTTGTAGTTAAAAACCTTCCAAATTATCAGTCATCAAGTACATTTGAGTAGAATTCAAATGATATAAACCAGTGGCAAAAAATTCAAATATCTTTAGGAGCTAGCGTAAGTGAATGATGTAGATTAGTTACAGGAAGAAGTAACTGCCAAAAATACAATCAAACTTTATTTTTACTGAACCACAGTATGTATAGAAATGTAACACAAATGCACATAATAGTGAAGATTTTGAAAATTTCAAGTCAATGTATAATTATTAATTATTATTTCTATGTTTTTATGGTTCTTTTCTAAAATCAGGGACCTGGTTCTTTTTTCCTGCCCTTAGATATTAATATATTTTGGAATTTTTTTATGGCATTGTAGACTTCAAATATTTTACTTTAGCATTGGCATTTAATTTTATGCCAGTTCATAATGGAAAAACAATTATTGACAGAAGTTGGTACTTCCAAATGTGGATAGAGTTCTTCCATGACGTGCTCTTCCTTCCTCTCTCTTCAGGTGGATGGCTCCTCATTGTTCAATTCTCAGAATTAAAATGTTTTCCTCAGAGATGCCCTTCTCCCCATTATTGTTTCTCATTCTTCCATTTTCTTAATTGTATGTTTTCCCTAGTACTTATACTTTATTAAACTGAGACTCATCTTTTCTACACATTTCTAGCTCCATGGGGGCAGTGTCTACCTTGTTTTACCTCTGTTTTCCTCGTACACCAGTGTCTAAGTTAGTGCCTACACTGTGCTAGGAGCTCAACAAGGAACTAAAGAAAGAATGAGTAAAATCCACTAAGTCCTGATTAGAGGGCAGGACTACAGCTCCCATGTACATTTTCTTTGGTTAGTGATGACTTGAGACTCAACCAAACTCCTCTTTCAAATGGAGGAAGATAACAGAAAGATTTGTTTTTAAATAACTTCTTGGAGGGTAGTTTAGGAATTGAAATTGGACACATACTCTGACCTACTCATGACCTTTTAGAAGTATATCCTATGGAGATTCACTATGCACATGTTTTAAAGCAGCAATTCCTTTCCTAGGCATCTAGCCTCAATAAGTCATGTAAGTACTCAAACGTGTGGAAATGCATTCTCATTGCAATATTATTTGTAAAAATGAAAAACAGAACTTGGAAGTAAGCTAAATGTACTTTCAAATTATTTGAATAAATTCTATGTAGTCATCAGTGAGATGCTATGCAGTCATTAAAATTATAGTATGTAACTATACTTAGTTAAACAAACAAGGAAAATAAGTCCCCAGTATAGTAAGTGAAAAAAATTTGAATAATATGTATAAATTTATTTTTTTGGTAAAAAAGAAAGAAAGAGACAACCCATGTGTGTACATATGGAAAGTTGCTCATAGTGATCATCTCTGGCAAGTGGAATATCCAAATCCTTTTTTATTTTTATTGTTATAAGGAGCACGTATTAACTTTATAATAATTTTTTAAAGTAATAAAGATACTTCCATTTGGAAACAATACTTCTTAATTCCACTTCTAGTAGGGATATATTTAATGTCTCATGTCTTTCAATTAGAAATTTCTTTCAATTAAGGGGTGTTTAGATGTTTTTTTAAGAGTGGCTTTTATTTTTCTTTCAACATGTTCTAGAAGATACTTATGCTTAAAACATTTTTTTTGTTTGTTTTATCTGAGTATTAAGTATTGGTGAATTTGTGACTTCGTAATTAGGCTCAATTTGCGACCTTGAAATATTTCATTTTACATTTTACTATTAGGCATGTGTTAAGCAAATCTAAACAACTAATTTTCATGCCATTACATTTGGTGTGCAAGAACCTAAGCTCTGGATGAGAGATAAGCCACCATCCCCCTAACAAACGATTTAGATCGTCACCCTCCCATACCATGTTGTGCCACATACGGATTTTGTTTTCTTTAACATCTCCAGTAAGAGCCAGGTTATTGAGCTAGGTCACAGTCCAGCTAGTTTATAGATTCTTTCTTTGCACGAATCAATCCAAACAGTCTGATGGGATCATCATGAACATTTTCCTCTATTTCCGGGTTCTCAAGTGGGAAACTGTTTACCAAAGTGGTCTTAGAGAGGCTGACGTCCTCTGCATGTAACTGCTCATCTTCATCCTTGTCTAACACATAATTATTGTGTTTCTTGGGCTTCCTGTTCTTCCCCTCACAGTTGTGATCCAGCGAGGCATAGAATACCTGTGCTTCCTCGGATGCCTAAAAAAGAAAGGCATGTTAATTTTTCATTGTTATCTCATTCCTTAACTTTGATGACTTCTGGGAATTTCTAAGTCTATGAAAAACAAGCAGCTTGTTTTCTGCACTTTGGCTACCTTGTTTTGCCAAATTTGTCCGGTCGGATGACAGCACAAAACAGCAGCTAACTCAAGACTTTTGAGTAGAAAAACACTTCAATGAAAATTTTCCGTATTTTGATTTCTTTCTTGTACACAAAATATACACGAACATTTTGGGTGGACTCTCACGGGCCTCTCCCCCTGCCTTCACCTGATGTAGCTCTTGTGCTGCTTTTACCAAGTGATAATATTCCAATCTGTTAAGCTGGGCACAAGCACGATAGGAAGGAAGGCAATGAATATCAAAATCTACCTTATATACATTTAATAACTGGTCATTTGATGGTACACACAAAAGTCCCCAATTTTTCTACATTTTTGAGATTCGGGAGTATCAACTATAAAGATTCAGATGACAGTATCCATTTATGTGACCAGCATCTGGCAAGAATTCTATTTTCCATCTCCCTCCCATAATTTCCTTCTCACCTGCCTGTCTGCAGGTTCCCTCTGAGCTCATTACAGGTTGGCCTGGAGATCTTCATTTGCACCCAGGAGGGAGGGTGTGCTGGGCCTTGGCCTAGAGCCGAGTCAATACTAGAATAAGGACAGGAGACGAAGGAAGCCTGGGGAACCAGTAGACTTGAAGGCAACACTTTGAATTTGGAGTGGGAAAGCCTTGCCTTGAATCCTGGTTCTGTAACGTACTTATCGTGGGACCTTGGACAATTTTGAAAAATGACTTTGAGCCTCAATCTTCTCACTTATCAGTTGAGGGTACCTATCTTCCACTGTTAGGAATAAGTAGAGATAATATAGGTAGAAGCTATAATCATTGCCCAAAGATAAATTGGGGGATTATAGTCATTAGAAGTTGTAGGCTAAAACTTTACGACAGCCATTGAATAAACCAAAGGATTCACCCTTAAGAGCAGGCCCCAATTATATCAATTTGTGGGGAGCATGGACTAGGGAAGCAACAATGAGGTTAACAGAACTTCTAATGCATCAGTAAGCATCTCCCTGTTGCCCTCGTTTGCATGCTAAGAGTTACCTGTCTTAATATTTGCTACTAGGTGGAAGGTCCTATTTACAACCTCTCTGGTGTCTTGTCTTTATTTTCCCTAAAATAATCATTTCGGGGAAATTGCAATAGCTGCCTCACTGTACCTTGTTCCACTCTCTTCCCTTTGCCAATTAGCCTGGCTGTGGTCTTCAGATTATCTTCCTAAGCCACAACTTGGATAGTTTTACCATCCTGTCTGCAAAAATTTAGCCTATAAAATCTGAGTTTCATATTCTCACATCTAAGGTCACCTTTTTTATTTTGATCCTGCTACTCCCTCTCCCCTGGCCCCCTAAACTGTATTCCAGGCAAGCAGGACAATTCACTGCTTCCCACACACACCATCTATTTCTGCCTGCTTTGCCTTTGCCAAGACACACAGAAGGAGATTCAAAAATAACTAGAAGGCACTCAGTGATACAAAGGGATGGATATCTTTTTTGTCTGTCCAGCACATTGTTCCCTTTTTTCTTTGATAAATTCTCCTTTTTATTTTGGGAAATCCTTCTGCTCTGAGTCCTGGAGAGGCTGCCAATTATAGTCCTGTACCCCAAGCCTAGCACGAACTAAACGTGTGATTCAGGCTAGAACCAACCAACCATATCACCCATTTCCTTGGCAAAACAAGTTGGTCCAGGAATGGACATGTGAAGGATGCCTGGGTGGCACAGTGTTGAGCATCTGCCTTTGGCTCATGGTATGATCCCAGGGTCCTGGGATTGAGTCCTGCTTCGGGCTCCCCACAGGGAGCCTGCCTCTCCCTCTGCCTATGTCTCTGCCTCTCTCTCTGTGTCTCTCATGAATAAATAAATAAAATCTCTCTCTAAAAAAAAATGGACATGTGACTTAAGCAGAGCCAATTATATGGCATCTTTGGAATTGATGTACAGATGTTGGAAAATGTGTTTTTTCCTTGGCACTGGGAGGAAGAAAATCTGGGTCCGTTCGTGGCTTGCCCAGCCTCCACAGAAGGGTCTATTGTTAATAGAAGAGAAGGAATTCATTTAAGCAGGAGAAGCAGGAAGGAGAAATGGAGAGAGTCCTCATATTCAGTCATCTCAAAAACAAAATACACCCTTCCATCTCCCAGTTATAGGAGGCAATAATTTCCCTTTTTTGCTAACGTGGTTTGAATTTGGTTTCTCTAATTATAACTATAAGCAATTCAAATAACATATGTTTTGTCAACAGTTGGTCAACTTTATCAAGTGCTTCAGAATGCAAAGAATGTAAATTCTGAGAAAGTATCACAGATTGTACATAAAGTGTCCCTTGTGACCTCCAGAGCATGGTTTCCTTTGAGTGTATGGGGTGGAAAAAATATTGCCAGTAGTAAAAGAATGTGTATCTATGGAAACAGTAGAGGAAAGTAAGAATCGCTTTAGGAATTAGGGAGAAATACAGGTAGAAGGCAAATTTTGTGGTTTTGTTTGTTTTTATTTTTAAATATCTGGGTGATTTGTGCATACTGGTCGGTAGATAGTGATGGTTCTTTAAAGAAAAAATGGAAGATTGAGACAAATGAAATAATTGAAGGTACAAGACCTTGAAAGAAATAGAGGAAATGATGAAAAGCATAAGTAGGGTATTGGCTTTGGAAAGGAGAGCGGATACTTCGGACATAGGAGGAAAAGGCAAGATCAGTGGGAGCTGTGACATCGAGGGGAACAAGCTCACACTGGTGTCCCTTATTTGTATTACAATATAGGAATTTTGTGGACTCATTTTATTATTAGGTTTCCTGATGACGTCTTGCTAGTTAATGGTAGATATTGAAATTATAATTTCTGAACTGTACACACCATTTTTAAAGGGCAATAAGCTTATTTCTTTTTCCAAGAAACAGACACTTTATCCATAAAGCTTTCTGCATAATATTGTAGACTACTTTTGTAATTGGCCAAAGTAAGTATTGTAGCAGCAAACCGGGTAGTGGTTTTCATGATAATGATCATTCTAATAAAATGGAATTGAGCAAATATAAAGAAATTACATTTAATTTGTGGAACTAAATTTGTGAGAAGGATATAATAGAATAAAGGCTAATCTCCTTAGAAGTGTCTTTAAATACATAATTTATAAAATAACAGGCTTTTAAAGACATTTAAAGCTTTGCATAATTTCCACTTGAGTAAAAACCAGATGTACCACAATTCATATGTACTAAATAGTAACTTTTATTATCAATTTTAAGTTCCTTTACAATTAAGGTGCAGTGCATCTCTACATTTTAGATGGTGTGGTTATATTTTAACTTTCTCTAAGAAGTTTTCTTTTTATTGTCATGGATTTAGCAGGTCATATGAGAATATGCAGGTTTATATACCTTTTGTCTAAAAAAAATTTTAGCACTAATTGAACAGCAGGTGACAGATTTGTGCATCAGAAAGTGACTTCATATCTGCTTAAACCTTACCACATCTTGGATTCTTAAAAACTTCAAGAATTCTCATTTTTTGGTGGACTCATATAAAGGAAAAGAGAAAAATTCTATCTTAATGGAACTTTCAAGATGTGACCCATCTTAGGGAGGAGAATATTTTTTGTAAGACAGAACTAAGTTTAGCTTCTCTTTCTACTTAGTACTTGACTGCATTAGGGCAAGTTTTTCATCCTTCTCAGGTCTCTGTCAAATGGAAGAAATAATGCTGTTTCCTTCATTAAACTCTAAGACAATAATACATGTAAAGCAATACAACAAGTCCTGACACAAACGACTGCAGAGGAAATGCTGGCTGGCCCTGTGACTATTTTGAGGGGTAGCAAGAGAACACGTAATTGAAGGGACAAGATCTTTTAACTGAAATGTATAACATTTCAGGAGCGCGTAGATGAAGAATTGTGCATGGCTTCTGATGATGTCAGTGCTATGTCTGAGGAAGTTGAACTGATTTTGGTAGGAAAAGGAAAAACTATTTCTTCTTGGGTTTTTATATGTTTCCACTTACATTTATATCCTATTTAACCCTACACGAGTCATGTGAAAATCTCTTGCCATTAACCCACAGCCATAGAGCTGTGTGAAAATTTACACTCATTTGCCTTATAAAATAAAAGTATGCTCTTTTATATCCAGCTAATTTATCTTTTAACTGAAGCATTTTCTCTTTCGCCCACCCCACTCTCTCCCATTCTCTCTCTGTCTCTCTCTCCTCCATTTCTATCACTCTCTCTCATTCTCTAAGGCACAACTTTCTCTTTCTCTCCTTCCCTCTCCCCTCCTCCCCCTGTCCCCATAAATTCCTAGCATCTAGGTCTTATGAGCATTATATACATGTCACCTTTTATGTTTATTTTTGTAAGTTACATAATTTTTTTCAACCTGAAAGAAAAAAGCTTAATTGGTTAATAATAACATCCAGTTGTTTCCTTCAGTATATTGCCTTTGTAATGGTACACAATTTTGACTTTTTGAGTGTGGTAAACTGTACTGTTTATTTGCCTTTGAGGTTCCCTTTAGAGCTCAGGTCCCAGAACTTGACAGTGTTTGGCCTGTAAAATTGCAGGCTTCAGATGTGAATCAGAATGTGCTGCTCTTATATTCTTGAAACATGCAGCTGTGCTGTGATCTAGGCTGAGCTTGACCCCTAATACAGACAATAAAACTCACCTGTGTAGGCAGGGTGGCTCCTTGCAGTTCATTTGTACATCTCTCTGGTCGGGCTTTCATTTGTTCATAGCAATTTTCATCCACTGGTTCTTGGAGATGAAAAGATCATGATTTACAATGGAAAAATGAAAAATGCTGGCACAAATAAAAATACATGACCCCAAAAACACAGCTGTAAATATGAAGCCCCCAAGGATCTTTCAACTTGTATTTTTTGTGGAGATGCAAAAAAAAAAAAAAAAAAAAAGGATGCACAAACCATTTTATGCATATCAGAATGTGAAGAAGTCTTTTGGCCCACAGCATCACTTGGGATAAAGACTAGATCATATTAGTTTATGCCATTGCAGGATATGACAGGCTCATCTCAAGCTTCCATTGGATGTTATGGAGATCCCATGTGTTCTTTTCTATTTGGGTATGATTGCAAGTGATGCAGGGGGCCACAGCATAGTGTGCATGCACTGATGATCGCAATTTGGTCATTTTTTCCATGAGTAAGAAATTTTATTCAGAGGTATATAAACACTTATGTCCTATTTTTGAAAAAGAATGTTTAGATTATATTTTTTGTTCCAGAAATCAGTGATAGCACAGCCAGGCTGTTTTGAGGGTCTAGAGCTCTGTAATGCTGATCCTAATTACTTAGAGTTTTTGTGCAGTGTCTGATACCCAGAAGACAAGCAGACATTTCATCCCATAGGGACATGCTTATTATATCATCCTTCCCTTCCCTCCACCTCCCCCCACCCCAGATATGCCTGTTTGAAAGGGAGAAGAAAGAGAGAAAGTGACTTGTAGGATGGCCAGTCCACTTGGCAGAAATGTGGATTGCACTAACTTGATCCCATAGAAAAAAGATATATTTACTGCAATGCAAGTTATCTTATAATCAATCATTCAACCCTTTCTGAAAAGCAACACAGAGGAGTGATGTTTCTTGAAGCATCATCCATGGGAAACATGCATTAGATTCACCTGGAGATGTGTCAACTAGCAAATTCCTAAATCCTATTCCTAAAAACTACTAAATCAAAATCTGTGGGGTGGCACCTGTGCTGCCTTAGATATGGAAATTGCAGATACGGTGCACATTGCACCACCAGAGTAGGTAAGAATTAAACTCTCAAATATTACAGGTGGATATGAGGATTCTACAATGTGGATTAGAAGAGCAAGTTATTTTTAATAGGTTAGTCTTAAGAAATAGTTTTGATTTCTCAGAGTATACAGATCAGAAGACACTTTACAAAGAAAGACAAAGATTTAAATACATTTTTAAAATTAAATAAAATTTGAATCCTTTAATGGTCTCACATTCCTCATTTTAGGAGAATTGCATATACAGAGATTTAGATAGTTTGGATTTGATATACAGAGATTCAGATAATTAGTTCATTCCTAGAAATTTCTGTTAACCCCCAATTCATGAATTAAGTGAAATGTTTGCAGGGCAAGGATGGGGTTAAATGCTAGTGGTTAAAAAAAAAAAAAAAGATAAATAAATAAATAAATGCTAGCAGTTACCCTCACGGCTTCTCTCATCAGAGCTCTGGGATCAGATCATGGAATTTAGTGGCATTTTGTTTTGGGGTGGTTGGAATGTTTCAAATAATAAGGGATGCTGGGAATTGAAAAATACTTGTTACCTAAGAACAAAAAATGTATAGCCTAGTCAGTGTGATTTAGCTCTTCTCTTTTCCCACTTGCCATCAATGTAGCCCTAGGTTCTCTACTTAACATGAGCAGCTAAAACCAGAGAAACCAGTGAACATGCTTGTTGTTCCGGATTATTCACTGTAGATTTGCTTTTATAGACAGAACACAAAGCTCTGTTTCCCTGAGCCATTTTCTGTCCTAGAAATAGCTTTATTTCATAGAATTGTGTATGTCAAAATTCAAGGTAATAGTCTTCCTGTATTCACATTTCTACTACAGTAAGATGAAGAGAATATAGAAAAACAGGATATTGCAACACAATTGATATATGCAGCATTAGAAATATATACTAAATAATATGCTAAACATTATTGAATCTATGGTTACCATTGGGATATTTAAATGTGATTGCAACCAAAAATAAGCCACCTCAAATGCTGTGGAAAGGAGGGGAGGGATTAATTTATAAATAAATACAATTTCTAGAAAAGTAAAACTTACCTGGGACCATGTCATCTAAGTTACCATAAATTGGTGTGTCTTCAACATAATACTCCTCCTCCCTATAATAATGAAAAGCAATTGATCTTGTTAGAACCCACTTTACACATAATTCTTAATTCCTCAGCTAAATTCTATATATGATAGCATGTTCTTGTTTAACCCCCGCCAACCAAGGTAGATATGTTATGTGCGAGTGATTGGATGCAATGAATGTGCATGAATGCCTATATGCACGTGTGTGTATATATTTTTGACCTTTCAGGAAATAATAATAGCAAATGCTTACTCAGCACTTATGTTTGTCAGATGCATTTTATATATTCATTTATTCCATTCTACAACAATCCAACCAGACAGGCACCATTGCATCCCATTTTATAGATAAGTCATTTAAGGCACAGAAAAGTCATATAGTCTGAAGGTCAGAAGACTAGTAAGTGGCAGAGCTGGGACTAGAACCTAGGTTATCTGTGCTCTTAACTGTACATTGCACTGCCAGGTTACTTGCCCTGTGTATCACTCTGAATAATCCCCTAAACCTATGTTTACTAAGTAAATACTAATTGAGAATGATGCTTAAAAAAATAAGAGGCCAAAGAAATACTGTAGACTCAGCTTGACTGATAAGAGTAAAATGATTGATCACCTATTACATCCATGTGGTGTGCTAAATATTTTTTATATATTATCCCAAAGTCCTGGGGAAATTCTGCAAAAATATCATTTCCCATTTTATAGATGGGAAGTCTGAGAGTCAGAAAAATAGATTAACATATTTTCCCTAGCCTTATGTGTAATGTCAGCAATAAGTACCAATTCTGAAAGCTTTTCTTTATGCCAGTGCTCACTCAGCCCTCAGAACATCTCTGAGATCCACCCTCCTCCCCCACCCCCTGTTTTTTTGTTTTAAATCCCTACTGTGTATATAAGGAATTTGCAACTCCAAGAGTTAAATTGTCCGAAGACAAAGATAGTAACTGGCAGTGTTAGGATTGTAATGCTAGTCTTGTCCAAAAGCCCTGAATACTATTTGCTCTTGATGTTTGATTAAATTTCCTTACAGCTTCATCTGAGAAATCCTTTTAGGACTAGCCTAGACATCCTATCATTGTCACCAGACAACGGCAATGGCCCTGGTGACCAGCTTTCACAATGACAGGCTGGGAACAGAGGAACATATCAGGCTGCGAGAGTGGCATTTCATAAAATAGCAGCAACTGCTTTAACTTTGAGATTACATATCATCAAGAACTGGAGGGAATTGCATGAAAAGAAAAAAGAACACTTATCTCAAGGCATAACACCTATTTTACTCCCTATGCTTCTGAAAGAAGACACAGTATATGTAAATAGTAAGTAGGTGTCTTTAAAAAAAAAAAAAACAGATCAAATGATACTTATATGAAATGGCTTGAAAAGTCCAGATCCTGGCATGTATATCTCTCATCTGATAACAAAGGAACTCATCTGTAACCTTTCTTTCCATCAGTAATTCAATACAGCTTAATATTGGGATATGGAATAGTCCCTGTTCATGGTTTTTCACCGGCTGCATAGAGAATATAATAGCAAAAGGTGAAGAATTTTTAATAAGACAATCCATCCATTTTCCTAGCTCACACAGATAGCAGATACAACCTGCAAATGATAAATCATGTCCAAAAAATGAATATCATTTCATTCCCTATGAATGAAAATAAGATGTGATTTATAATGCAGTGCCCTGTGTCTGCAGGCAGGTCTCAAATGATTAATCATCCCGAATAAACTATTATAAAGGAACAGTTGCCTAACCAACAAATTAAAAAATATATTTTTACTTAGCAATGCCAAATAGCTCCAGCCTATTTCAAATATCTAATAAACTTTAAGCACAAATGTTTGGTAGTGTTTTATGTGGAAGATCAATTACTATTAAAAATAGATTAATAAATAAGCCCATATCCCAGAGGCCAGTGCAGCGCTCTGAACATGGCCTTCTGACCAATAAGCACATTTATTGATACTCCAAAATTTAAAATAATATTGATTGTATTTTTTTGCTAGGGTCCAACTTTTTCTACTTTCATGTATTTTTTCTTAGTCCCTATTTTTAAAGTTTTAATATCATCATTATTTTTATTGTTAAGTCCTCTTAGAAAAATGCTTAAATACTATATTATCCAGGTAGATTAAATAAGTAAATTAAAAAAAAGTAAATTCAATTTTTAAAAAATCATTACTTCTATCTAAATGACTTTGGACATAAATTCTCTGAGTTTCAATTTCCTCATTTATAAAACAAGATTATTAAACTATTTAATCACTATTGTTCTTTTCAGCTCTGAAATTCTATGATATAATTGTAGGGTTACAATACCCAAAGAAAAATTAAAGATATTTCTGTAAAACTAAATAAAGCTATTTTAAGGGGCTGGGAAATAGATTGAGGAAAGAGAAAACTTAGGGGTCTATCAGAAATTGGTTTGGTAAGTGTTACCTTGATTTGCTTAATAGGTGTTTAAACTGGCAGATATATGCTTGGGCTCCATTCATGTATAAATGTTATACATTTAAACACATTTAAATGTCATTTAAAGCCATAAGAAAAGGTAAAACTACTTTATAGAATGAGTATAGATAGAGAAGAGGTTCATTAGATGAGCCCTGGTACTCTAATGTCAAAGGTTCAGGAACCAGCAAAGGACAAAGAGCCACTGGTGAGGAGGAAAACTATAGATGAGAGGACCTGGCCTGGAGAAGTGTTTCAAGAAGTAGAGAGTGTCAATATGTCAAACTCTACAGATGGACTACATACAAAGACACTAAGATTCGGCCATGGGGATTTCATTGGCAACCTTGATGAGGGCTGAGCTGGTGGATTATTGAAAGCAAAAAACTGAATAGAGTAGGTTAAAGAAAAAAGAGAAGAGGAGAAGCCAGCTAATATGGACAGAATGTAGATGGAACTTTCATGTTTTGCTGTAAAGCATACAGAGCAATGGAGAGGTAACTGTAGGCAATCTAGTACCAAGAGAGCTCTTCTTCTCTCCTTCCTGCCTTCCTTCCTTTCTTCCTTCCTTTTATGAAACAATACTGTTATATACCAACAAGAATAATACAAAAGGGATAGAAAAAGCAATGATTCAGGAGAGAAAAAGGAAGGTTGCTGGAGGGACACATTCTTGAGTGCACGCTCACTGAATTTTTGCTTTCTTTGGCAGGGACCATGCCATGGGTGTAGGTATCTTGAACTTGAGGTAAGAGGACTAAATATAGACCCCTGGTCCTGGGGAAGGGTATGAACCTAGGTACTAGCTTGGATGGTTGGAGACTAAGAAGTGAATCCAGTGGCATTCCCTGTGAGGGAGATGATTAATGTACTCTCAGAGCAATGGTATCTAATGCTAAATTTTTATTCTCTTGATTAGTGCTCCAATTTTTTCTAATATATCCACTTCTTTGTGGTGTCAATTAAACACAAGGTACTTATATTGCCAGTGCTTTGGAGCACTTAAAAAAAAGGGGGGGGTCTTTTGCCAAAGCTTTGGGGAAGGGAAACTGGAAAGGTCAGCCAGCATGAAGAATTCTAATGATATGGGGAAAGACACGTAGAGCAGTGACACAGAGATAGGGGTGACAAAAAAGACAATTGAGAATAAGGTTTTTGAAACCTATCTGTACTTCTCAAGGATTCTTAAGAAGGCATACTTGAAGGGACTGGGCTTCTTGCAGTCACATAGGGGTGGAGGTTGGCTTATGGTTATTTGTACATTAAAACAAGTAAACAGAAGGCTGGAAATCTTGGAGTTATTTTGGTTACAAACATGGCAGTGATCACAATAAGGGCCTTATCCGCACAACCACTTGCAAGTCTCAGATGTCTAGGAAGGCTCCCAGTTCTCTCATCATAAATGTCCTCAACCTTGAGAATGGGTGAGGAGGACAGCTAAGACCAAAAGGCAGGTTCAGGGCTAGGTTAGTGTGTTTAGTAAAGAGGGGAAGTGAAAGGAGCTTGCAGAGTCCCAGAAATCTAAGAAATCATCTTGAGGTAGGAGAATGGCTGAGACAAGATATGTTTAATCAGAAAAGCACTTTTCAGTACCACCCAGGAGCAGACCACGCAAAAACTGCCGGGAATCTTCCCTGAGGTTTTTGAGAGAGACTCCGAAACTGAGGAGTCATGATTAATTTCAAGTAGTTGTAAACCTGAACTGATCTTCTAAATTAGAGGATAAATGTAAAGCAAATGGGCTGGAATTTTCTTAGACCTTAATTTTCATCTGATAAAGCAGTATTTTTTTCAATCACCTATGCTTTATAAGGAAAGTATTACCTTATAATGTGTATTTTTCAGATGATAGAACTGAAGTTCACCGATGCTTATTTTGCTAAGACTACACAAGCCTCGTAATCACAAGAGTCTAATTAAAATCCAGAATTGTCTAGATCTTAAATCTATGATATTCTCACTGTATTAGCCTCCTAACACAGATCAAAAGACCAGAATTGTATAGAATGAGGTTTTAAAGGAAAAATAAAGTGGCCCCGGGGTAAATACCAGGAAGTGTATACCTGAGTTTCTGTTACATATAGATGCTACATTGTTCTTAAAGTGATCACAATTTTTGACCTACTAGTGCAGGAAGGGCAAGGATTTAGGGAAGCAGGAAGATAAGATCAGAGAAACAAATTTCTTTCCCCTCTAGCATGGCTTCCCACCCAAACCAATGTTGAATGGGGCAGAGACAGGGTGCAATGGGGAGCCTTAGCCTCAAACCACCTAAGAACTGAGAAGCATCTCCAATTTTTTTTTCTTCTACCTAAGAAATATAGCCTTTATTTCCACTTGCTGTTTTAATGTCGAAGTTTTAATGGCTGGAAATAGTTTTACATTTGTTTGTTTGTTTCCTGAAGCCTCCATGTCCTTCCTATAAAGGTGATTTGGGCTCCCAAACTACATAATCAGAAATCGACAAGCTGTGAAGTACATACATAATTAACATGCCCACCACTTATTATAGATAAAATCTGCATTGTGTATTCAAATTATGCCTAAATTGAGATTTATTACAATAGATAATAGATTATTAAATCCACAAGGGACAATCTGCATTTTTCCATCTTTGCAACTCTTGTCTAGCACAACTCCTATTTGTTGAACAAATATTTATTGAATAAATGAATGAATGAGTGTTATAAAAGAACCAACCTCTTTTTCACACTTGCCCTATGGGTAAGAGCCTGATTACTTTGAGGTGGGTATTTTACCAATTTTTTGTTCTAACTCTTACCATCTCAATCCAAGAGTACCAACCCAATCTTTAGCAGAATGATCAAATCACTAGACTTTCTATCACATTGCATCTTAATTGCCTTTCAAATGACAAGTGTCAAATCAATTGTACAAGAGATTAACTTCCATGTGGAAAATCCATATAGGGTTTTCTTTGTCATGATGTTTGTTGTAACCAACTCTGCAAATACTCTTGATATGAGATAATGCACTGAAAATTATCTCCTGTTATAGAATCCCATGTTAAATCATAAAAATAAAGACTTTCTTTTTTGTGTGAATCTGCCTACAGCTTACATCCTGCACCTGTCAGAGATATTTCCACATGGAGAAAAATTCTAAAAAGACCTTTAGAGGCTAACAGCTTATAATCTTACCTACCCAGTGAGAAAGCTCTGTGTTTGTGAAAGACCTTTCTGCTTTTCAGTCTACCATTTCAGAAAGGTCTTGAAGAGTCCTGTAGGAAATTCTCTATATTTAGATGTTTTTTTGATCCTAAAGGAGAAATCTCCAATTTAATAACACATTTGGGTCAGAACATATTGTACAAGAAAATGAAAATTCTTTGCTATTATTTACACCTTAAACCCATTGGAAAAAAAAGAATCATACAAATTTCTCTGCAATTAAGCAGGTATTAAAGAGAATCCATTATATCTGTAACCATATATTATTTTAGGGTTAATTTATCACATTTCCCCCATTGATTGACATTACTCTTAAAAACAGCACACCACAGAGCACTTTTATCTAAGTATATATGTCTTAAATTTTATTAGATATTGCCAGATTTCTTCTCCAGCCTGGTTTCTTAAGAGCCCCACAATTCCATATATAATTAGACTGCATTCTTACAATTTGGGCTATATCCATCTGAAATTGACAGGAATTCTGTAGATACCAGATTAGGATCTCATTTTGTCCCTTAGCCAGTTCTCTTATTGACAAAGGATAAGTAAGTAACTAAGGAAGATAATAACATAGCTTTTGATCTTCAGATAGGAGTAAAAGTGAGTAAAATTCATTTCATTTTATTTTTACCCAAATATGATATTGCCGAGCCAAACCTATAAGCAATATAGAATCTGTTACTTCCCCTTATTAGTTGGGAGTCATATAACTTATTTTCTACTTACCTGGGAATATAGTCTTCAGAGTAACTGTACATTTTATCTGAAAGATATTAAAAATAGACAAATTAAAAGAAATTTTGACATACATTTGTTAAATCTTCTAGAGAATTGTGAAGTTGGTGAGGGTAGCTTAGCCCCAGTGTCAGTTCATATCTTAAATCAAGACACTTGGCCACCACAACCAAGGTCCTCTGCTTTGGGCCAATCATATATATTCTTTCTTGATAATTTGAGATGGAAATACAGCACAGCTTGGAGGTAATGTAGGGCCCAGATGTGTTGCCATTTTATGCAAGGGAAACAGCAAACTATGAACATGGGGACCTCTACCCATGCCTTTCCTGTGGGGCAGCCCATCAGGAGTGGACCATACTGTCCTTTCTGCCTTCACGTTTCACGAAACACCTCTGCCTCCTTCTGACAAATTTCCGTCTTTGTCCTTGCTGATTTGAAAGGTTTTTTTTAAATTTTTTTATTTATTTATGATAGTCACACGGAGAGAGAGAGAGAGAGAGAGAGAGAGAGAGACAGGCAGAGGGAGAAGCAGGCTCCATGCACCTGGAGCCTGACGTGGGATTCGATCCCGGGTCTCCAGGATCGGGCCCTGGGCCAAAGGCAGGCGCTAAACCGCTGCGCCACCCAGGGATCCCTGTCCTTGCCGATTTGAATAAGCTTTTCTTCCTTACCCAAAACAAGCAAATGAAAACAACACACACACACACACACACACACACAAAACCTAGAAGACTTATTTATTTATTTTTGAAGTGTCTGTTAACACTTCATGTTATGTGAACAGCAACATAAAAGTTATGTTCAGGAAGTTTCTCTGGTTGTAATTCTATCTCATCCACATGGTGCAAATAGAAGGAGAAAGAAGATTATAGGGAGAAGAGATCAGGAAAAAGCTGGGAATACAGTCTAAAGTAATCAAAACGTAGAGTGACTTTTAGAAGAAACAGTATACTGGTCTGCAGTAACAATACTGACCAGAGATCTGAGGTAAGATCATAAAACCATGAAAAAAATTCCGAACCCGGGTGCTTGGATTGCTCAGTGGACTAAGTGTCTGCCTTAGGCTCAGGTCTCAGGGTCCTGGGACAGAGCCCCATGTCAGGCTCCTGCTTAGGGACTTGCTTCTCCCTCTCCTCCTTGTTCATGCTTTCTCTCTCTCTTGCTCTGTCTCTCTCAAATAAATAAATAAAATCTTAAAAAAAAATTTTTTTTGTACCAAGTCTCAGAAAGTAACCCACTGTTGAACCTTGAAGGTGGTGGTTCAAAGGCAAATAAAAGAAAATATTCTTACTTCAAATTAAATATATGTATTCAAACTTGAAAAATTATTTTTAAGAAGTTTTTGGTGAAAAGTAATAGATGCATAATGAATTATTGAGGGAAATTTAGAAATTAAATTTAGTTTTAATAAGATCAATGAAGAAGTCTTTATTATCTGTTCATCAGTAGATGTTCTTAGATATTGAATGGATATGTATACTATGACATTTATTATATTTTGACTGGGTATTAGTCAACGTGGCATTGAATAGAAAAATTTTGCAAAAGCTATTTCTATAAAAATGAGGCCCATTATTATCTAAGTCTCTGGAAATAAGACAGAGAAAATAGTAACCAAAGGATGATCTTTCAGTTTTAACATTATAAAAAATACCGTGTTTAGCAAAAATATTTCAAATGACTGAATAAGTCACCAAACAACTAGAAAGATTATATTTAGTTAGATTTATATATGATGAAGTTGAAGTATTCTCCAGAAGGGTCATTAAATGTTAGAGAAACAGTATTGGAACAAACTATTAAAATCATCATATTGGAGGATAAAATGGACATGTCCCATGTCAGTGTATTTGGAAGAATTAAAATATATATATAAGAATTTAGTGAAACCTTAGCCTGATGTATTATGGGAAAAATTCAAGATGAGAGATGAAAAGACTTTGGATTTGGTTAGCAGCTCTTCATGCATTTGCCATGTGACAATATGCAAAGGAAACTCTGATTCTCACTTTATCCATAAAATAGAGATAATAATGCCTGTAGCATATGCAAAGATGGGGAAGATAAATGAGATAATTTTTGTTAAAAACATTTTAGAAAACGCCAAGATTGATTTCAATATTATACCTTCTAAATCCAATCATATTGTCAGTCACAACTTAATTGTGCTGATTTGAATAAAGTCTCTTCATTAAATGGATTAGCTGAAAACAAGCTGATATAATTAAAATGCTATTTACAAGATTTATAAATAAAGCTTGATTTGTAATGAAATGACCAAATCTCCCTTTTGGCAAGAGGATTGTCACCAAATGAGTGTGAAAAGAAAAGATAAAAATTAAACAAAGAATTTGAAAACAAAAATAATGACATGACTTAGAGAATAAGAAAAAATAGGCACAGAGTCAAATATTTCCCCACACAGACTAATATTTTTAAAAGATAGTATGGATTTTCCAGTGAGAAGTGCTTGGAGTATGAATGTTGGTGCCTGGAAGGTATGTGTATGTGTAAAAGGATAGCTTTATGGAAAGAAAATGTTGTTGGATATATTATCAGTAAAGAGAAGCAAAACAAGGTTTGGACCAAAAAGCTTTGTGGGAGGAAAAGGAAGCAGAAGCAACTCTATGAAGGATATGATATAATGATGTGATGCTTATCTGGAAGGAAAAGAAACAAACAATGTAAGGAAGAAAATAAGTATTGGGTAAATGACATTGTCCATCCAGACTAATTATATATTTTTAAAAGATTTTATTTATTTATTCATGAGAGACACACAGAGAGAAGCAGAGACATGGGCAGAGGGAGAAGCAGGCTCCCTGCAGGGAGCCTGATGTGGGGCTTGATCCCAGGACCCCAAGATCACACCCTGAGCCAAAGGCAGACACTCAACTGCTGAGGCACCCAGGTGCCCCTCAAACCAAGCATATTGAAAAAGCACCCTGAAAGGATCTTGAAAAGAGTTCAAGGTCCTCTTAGAATTTAAACGTGTCATCTGAAGCTGGATGATGTGTACTCCTGTGGTCTTAGTAATTTCTTTCTCATAGTAAGATGTGTGGTAGCATATGATTTCTTTAAATGGGGGAGTGCTAATCAAAAGTTTTCAAGGTTGGAGCCAAGGAGAATGGTCAGCCAGGCTCAGGCTCCTGAAGACTGCTCTGTCATGAAGGCTTATAAGCTTATTTAAAATAAATGGCATGAAAAAACAAAAACAAACAAAAAATAATAAAATGAAATGGCATGTCTTAAAAGCTGGCTAATGATCTCAGTGATATTTAGCAAAATAAAAAGCAGTTTTTATATTGCTATGAAGCAGTTACGTTTGCAAGATTCTGTGTTGAGAAGAGCTGGGTGAGTTTTCACAATCCTCCCTGTGATTCAGACACAGTCACCTTGCGGTCAGGTTCATGGTTGAGAGCGTGTAAGCAAACATTTCCTTTTATGTTTTCTCCTTTATAGTGTTTACCCTTCCGTGTGCAATACATAACAACAAGAAACAACAGCACACGGCTTAAACTCCATAATAACATTTTTGGATACATTCTTCATGTGAAAATGTGAAAAAGGTGCCATAATTTTCTAGGGAGTGGGAGATACACTGATAGGACTTTGATGTATGAGCAAACCATGCACTTACTTATCCTTCTTCTCGCAACAGAGAAGAAAGGTTGGATAAAGAAAATGTTTTGGATTTAAAGGAGGACACCGCTAATACATTCCTAGCAGAAAAATAAATAAATATAATCCTCCTAAAGAACAAAGAATCACCTAAAAAACGTAAAGTTTATTTTGGGGAAAGGGAAAACTACATTACAAAGCCTCTAGCCAGCTCTGCTGCAGAAAACATCAAGGAGAGGCTTATCATGTCTATCTGATTGAATGTGTAGATATTGCATTGTTGCTGGAATGGAGATTTTCTTTGGTAAGCTGTTTAATACACCAGCAAAACTTACTCTCCGACTGTTCGCCATAGGTGGAGTCATCTCTTGCAAGTTCCTTAGCCACAAACAATAGCACAAAGATGCAAAAATAAAAAGTTCCAGGAGGCCAGATACAGGGGCACTGCGTTCGCAGACCAAGCAGCAGAAAAGCTGGCTAATAAATAGAATTGAATCTCCTCTGTCTGGTCTGTCTAGGAGAAACAAAGCCCAGAGGAGCCTTTAGTGGGACTGGAAAGGAGTCAGCTTGCAGAGCTTTTCCCAGAGCCACCTGGAACCTCTGCGTGAGACAGACAGTGCTGTTTGCTCCTGTGGACTCGCAAGGGTGGCAGTCATTGCTGATGCTTGGGGAAAGGGTCAGGAGGAGCTGGGGCAGTTGGGAGAGGGCTGCAGGGAGAAGAGGAGGAGGGAGGGGAACGATGGGCCTTTGGGCATCAACGAGCATGGCTAATCTTGCTAATAAAATGCAAGATGCAGGGTTGTGTGCTCACCCAGGGAGGGCAAGTTATGGCTCAAATAAAATAAGTTGCAGTAGGCGAATGGTTAGAACCAATCCTCTGAAAGCCTACGGAGAACTCTCTAAAATGCACCTGTATATGACTTAAATGGACACAGCAGTTGTTGCTAAAAATTCAGGTTGTTGCATAGACGTGTTAAATGATACGGAGATGGGGCAGGAAGTGACCTAGAAGCTGGAAGGGACCTAGAGAACACAGAGATGGTGGGAGCAGGGAGGAGCCAGAGGAGCTAAGTTTCCCTGAAATACCCGACACTAAAATTAGATGGGATAAGATGTAGTCATAGCAAGCCCTTAACAAATACTTGTGGGAGGGGGGTGGGAAGCAGCAGGACCACCAAGAAGGGTGGGGGGGGCCTGTGCCATGTGCAGGACTCACCCACTCAGTCCCCAGAACTGTGCTAAGGGATCTACAGAATTCTCGTGAGAACCCTGTGGTCTAGATGGTCTTTTTCACATTTTATAGACAAGGAAACTTGTCAACAAGGCAACTATGAGAAGGTATGTCTCTTATACAAGAGATCTCCCAGGTAAATATTGTAAGCAGGGTTCTAGTTCATGACAGGTTGACTTCAAAAGCCATGATGTTAAAAACAAATTGAGAGAACTGAAATTGATTTTTAAAAATACAGCAATGAATGTAATTTACTATTTCTTGCTTTAAAAAAAAAGTGATTTCCCAACATCCTGCTTTTAGACAAAGTAATTTATGGCATGCCTGAGGCAGTTAGGGTTTTGTACAATTGAAATGAAAAAAAAATTAGTTTTTTTTTTAAGAAAAACCCTGCCTTCCTTCCTTCCTCCCTTCTTTCCTTCCATCTTTCTTTTCTTAAAAAGTTAGTCTACTGTCTTAGTAGTGGTCAACTAAATATTATAAGAATACAACTCCCCAAAGGAGTTCATATGGTGGCAAATGGTATGAATACAGCTAAAAAAACTTCCCATGTACAAACTACCAAAAATGAGAACTGAAAAGGCCACCACTTGTTCCCTGACCCCACAAAGATCTCTGGAGGACTGCCACTGGAATCTACAGAAGGGTGAAGTACTAGTTCACATGGTTCTTCTTGTCCTGGCTTCCATTTTAAATTATTTCACCTATATAGCTCTTGATTCACCTTTTTTCCTTTTTTCTTTTTAAAAAGATTTTATTTATTTATTTGAGAGAGAGAGAAAGCATGAGCAGAGTGGGAGGGGCAGAGGCAGAGGGAGAAACAGACTCCCCACTGAGCAGGGAGCCCTATGTGGTGCTCGATCCCAGGACCCCAGGATCATGACCCAAGTCAAAGGCAGATGCTTAACCCACTGAGCAGCCCAGGCTGCCCTCAATTCACTTTTTTTCTAATTCAAGGGACACTATTATCTGCATTCATAAAATATCTTAATGGAGAAATCAGAATATAATCATTTTAAGCTATTATATAAAGAATGCTACTACTCTTAGCTCATATTTTTCTGTGGTAGAAGCTTTTTTCAAAGGTATTAGATCATGGGTCATTCATGCATCTGACTTATGAAATTTGTTTGAGAAAACATTTGATTTAAAAAAGAATTACTGAAATCCTTGCTAATGAAAAAGCATTGCCTGCCTGCATTTCAGGCATAGAAATGATATAATAGAGATCCTAAAAGAGTGTTGGTTCTTCTGGCCAAGGACATTTGGTCAACAATGTAAAAGCAGCATGTGCTAGTGGAAACCATTCTGGGCAGAGAATTAGATAGGGCCCTTATCCTTGACTTTGCTATTGAGTAGATGTGTGACCTCAGCTATGCCACTTCACTTTCTAGTGTCTCATATTTTTTGAGAGATATAACAGTAACATTTTCTTCATATTTTATATTTGTGTTATCAACACTGAAGAAGACATTCCTAAAAGGATCAAGGACTGTCCCCAGAATCTGACCATTGTTCTAAATTAGCTTCATGCCTAAGACAATTTTATTAACTTGGTTTTATTTATTTTCATCTGTTAAAATGCACCAACATTTTCTTTTCTATTCATTATTACCACTGAAATGTCAGCTAGACTTTCATATCCATCCAACCATCCATCCATCCCCCCACCTCCCCCAACACACTTGTGTTGAATGCCAATAGCACACAAAGATGGTACCAATTGCCGGGCATTGCACTATTTCAATCGTGTCCATGAGGGTGAAAGCCAAGTGGTTAAAACTGCTGACCAGCTTGTTGAAAGGGAAAGCCAACCTCAGGAGTGTTAGATAATAAGCCTGTGGGTCAGCCTGTTGCTTTTCCAGTTCTCCGATCCTGATCCAGGATCGTACTGTACTGCTGTACTTTGGAGGCTCTAACTGAAGCTGAGGGGTTTGAGCAGACTGTGGAAGATTGACGAGCTAGTTTTCACTCTTCCCATGGTGTATCAGTGAGAACTTTTATGGCTGCTGCAGAATAGGCTACAATTTCATGAGCTGTTGAGTTGGAGGGGGAAAACCACATCTTATCAAGACAATTCCTTCCTCCTCTGTATCTTAAGGCAGAGATAAAGCCGAGATTGGGAGTCTGTCTATATTCTAATATGATTGCATTTTTAAATTAGGAGAAGGGTGGAAAAAATATCAAATAGATTTCCTACAGATAAAAATATTCTATTGCATGACATTTCATAAAAGTGTCTTTTTCTATAGGTTTTCCAGTGACTTCTTTCCATTCAAGCTGATCCTATCTGGCTATTTCTCAAAATGTCTTACCTTGTCGCTGCTTTTCCACATAGTGGGAAATATTGAAGATCAGTGATACAATCAGAGCTAATCCCAAAAAGGCTAGAATTATCCAGACATAAAAGCATTCAGAGCTTCCTGGGAAAAAAAAAACAAACAGACGGAGGTATATAAAATAGCTGCTTACCAATTTGTTTTGAATTAGGTATTCCCACAGTTAAAACCATAGTATTTATTCATAATGAAGAACAAATTCTCTGCCAAGAAATTAATTACCAGTGACAGACAAAGGATTCTTACAGATTTCAAATGGGTATTGGTGATAAGTCCCTGCATTCAGCATGGACAAAAGGAAGCAAATTTCCCACATTCTCAGTGTTGTTGAAATGAAAGACATTTTCAGTCTAGCTGCTAAAATTCAACAACTGGTGACGGAGTATAAAACCTTTGGTTCAAAATTAACATCCAAATTATCCAGAATCATAATTTGCCACACTTTTCCCCTTTCTTTAGTCATCAGATACAGTTATACATACTTTCATCATTTATGGGTAACCACCTATCCCTACCTATAAATCCCAGGAGTATAGGATACTGTGTGTTGTGATAAAACAGTAATTCTGGCATCATAGTAACTTGGTTTTGTCAAGACTGGCCACAGGGTATTTTTCTCATACGATATAGAGACCTGTGAGTGGATATTGGAGAACCAACTATGCTTTTCTTTACCCTTGTGAAGAGATTCTTTTTTCATTCCTGAGCCCTAAGGGGGTTTTGTGGGATAGTGCCTGTCAGTTGCCCTTGATTATTTATGGCAAGTTTTACATGTATATGAGTGATTTCTAAGATAATAACCTTGATTTTTATATATAAGTATATGTGTATTATATATAATGCATATATAAAAATACAATATATTTGTATATAAATATATTGGCTTTATGCATAATACACGATATGTATATGTGTATACATTAGTGTATACCATATATCATAAATATACTAAATAAATATTACATATTATGAAATACTTATAAATAACATATATTTATATTACATATATATGATATATAATTTATATATTATTTCTTTATATAAATATATTTTATATCTGTATATATTATAGTTTCATATATTTATAGATATATATAAATTAGACTAATCATCTTAGTAGTCAAAGACTCATGTGAATGCTGACCCCAGAAAAGTAACTTATGATTCTATAACGCTATATATTTATGTATTCAACTGATACCAGACATCTCTTCTGTGTGAGGAATGGGGCCCTATTTGGGAATCAAAAGTAAAGAAACGGGATCTTTGCCTTCAAGGAACTGTTTAGTTGGGGACGCAGATGTGTAAACACAATCAGAAGTCCTATGTGACCATAGCTGCAGCAGAGCTTATATTCCTTCATGGTCTCAGCCTCCTACATGACTGCCCCGAATCAGACATCATGCTCAGCTCTTTCAAAGAAATCTAAATAGCATAGTATTAGATACAATAAACAGAACAGGCAAATCCTTAATGGAAGGGAAATTAGTTTTGCTTCCCTATTCTGTCTTTAAATCGGCAAGTAAAGAATCCCTAGACTGAAATGTTCTTTGTGTGGCTCTCTTTTACCTATTTTTTATATCTCAAATTTGATGTTTGAATTGTTAATTTTTTTTTTGAGTACTTATTGACATTGCAGTGTGGTTGTTGAACTGCTCTCAGTGGTCCTGTTAGAGGAGGTCGTTCTTTCTCTGTCTCTCTCTTTCTTCCTTTCTTGGCATCATTTATTTTTAAATGAACATAGTTAGGCATCTAGATGACTAAATATATAAAATAGATATGCATTTGTGATATAGATGTACCTATATGCATATAATTTGAATATTGCTTATTTATATATTCTTTGCTTTTGTTTGAACTAGGCTGTGGCTCTTTAAACACCAACAAATCTGTCTACTGCCTCTTTAATTCTGTACTATGTTATTTAGATGTTCAAAATACTGTAAACTCCACAGGAAATAGAATGATTTCTGCCTTCTGTTCTGCAGTGCGAGACATACCAAACATGATTTAGAAAGATTTTAAAAGAATTAGTTAATAAATGGGAAAAGTTAACTGATTATGGTAGTGAAATGTATGGTTTTATTTTCTTTAAGGAAATTTTTATGTCTCATAAAGTGTAAAAAAATTGAGAAGATTTGAATAGTCTTTAATCCTCCAATAGACCCACTGATTAATGTGGTTAAAAACACTAAGCTTTGGAAGGGACTTATTTATCCATCATGAACATAATCTCATACTTACAAGAATTCTATAACATAGTAATCATTAACTACTTAAAATATACTAGAAATTCTAGGTATTGCATGGTACTGCCTATATTCCTAGAACTGTTTCTTTGATTTTTATGTTTATGAAAAAAACCACAAGTGTCTGCTTGAGTATAAATTTTAAAAATTCTAGCAATAACAAAATCTAGAATAACATATGAGATTCTCTATTAAAGCATAAATGGGTCACTAACATTATACTAATTAGCCTTTTTAAAAAGACTTACCAGTGTGTCTGGGGGATTTTTACCATGTTATTGTGTTATTTTTAGTGGCAGCATGGAATTACACAGTATGGCTGTAATATAATTCATCTACCCACCTCTCTAAAATGGACATTCTGATTTTTTAAAATGTTTTCTCTTACAAACAATAATGCAACACACTTCATTGGACAGGCATCTTGGGCATATGTGGGCTTATCTGCAGAAAGAGGCTCCTCGGAATACAATTGCTGGATCAAAGGAAATTTTTAAAGCATGCTTTCGAAGAGAGCTTGTTCCCCACCTCGCATTGATAACAGTCCTTTTCAGGTAGTTAATGTAACTATAATTGTGAACAAATGGGGCCAGCTAGCTGTCTCTTTGCCAGATGGGTCTCAGTTTCCCTCGCTACTATCACAACACAAAGGTATTCATTTTCTGCTTTCTATGACCAAATTAATGGTTAAATCAATGAATTCTGTTATTAAAGACTTCTTTTCTTCTTTGTGTATATATCACTTAAAGACCCACAGTCTAGATGCAGTTCTAGGTTCTTCCACATTTTAAAACTATTTGAGGGCATTGCTATATTTTCTATGGGATAGATCACAATTATCAATTCAGGATATTCAGTCTGTCAAGTAGACTCTAATCACTTATGGCATTTGGTGACAAAGAAATGAACTTTAGTTGCTACACAGAGGCCAAACATGTTATATATATATATATCATCCATGTTCAATATTAAAAGCAATTAGTAAACTCAGACAAGCAAAAACAGAAAAGCTAAGACTCAACCATAATCCTATGATGAAGAGACAATCACTGTGAACACCTTCATTCATATACTTCCTGTCATTTTTCTTTGTGTAGAAATTGTTACGGACAAAGACATAATATTCAATTATATTGATTATACTATTACTTATTTTTCACTCCAATAATTTATAGTGTGTTTCTTTTCCTATAAATAAAATATGCTTTCATGTCTGTTAGCTGCCAGATATTCCATTGAATGAATTTTCCATAATTTATTTAAACAATCCCTTATTGTTAGACCAAGTTGCTTGTGATTTTTACTTATGTAAGCACTGTTGTGATGAATATCTATAGCTAAAGCTAAATACATCCAACCTTAATTTTTTTCGACAAAAAAAATTCTTGACTTGCTAGATTGAAGGACATAGACATCTTAAAGGATTTTAATATAATGATGGCCCAGGTTTTAAAACACAATACTAAGCAGACCCTTTTCGGGTCAGTCTGGCCTCTGTCCCTGTTGTTTCAGTTGGCCCTGATTTTATGTGCATAACTATTTTGGTTCATCCACACTACATCAACTGCCATTCCTGGCAGCTACTATCTTTCCACACACTGTCTCATATAGTCCCCTCCTTTGTGGTTTTTCGGGGAAGTTGTTCTTTTGTCTTTTTTCTGGAGCCTCTGATGTGGGTCCCTCATGAGGAGGTGCTTGCTCCTATCTCTGCCCCAAGCATAGTGACTGTAGAGGGTGAGTTGCTTTGTTTCAAATGAAGCATTTGATAGATATATTAATGATTTACCTTTGGCCAAATTGGGTGACTTGTAATCTTGTTTGAAGTTAGTCAGATTCTAATTTTCTTTCCTTTCCATGAACTATTTCCACAAAATGTTACTTTAGATTTCCTATCTTTTAGGACCCGTTTGTTATGCCTGAGCAATAATATACCATGCTCCAATCACTCTGAAGCACTTAGGTTTCTCAATAGATACCATACTTACCACTTCATGCCCCTATGTCTCGGTATGTTTGCCCCTTTCCCTTAAATGCCTTTCCCCTTACCCATTTGACAAATTACTAGTCATTCTTCAGGACTACCTTTTCTTTGAAGCATTCACTCTATGCTACCTATCTACCCCAAGTGATATCTTTTATATCTCTCTATAGTTCAATGAATATTGAGGTAATATTTATCATTTATATATTTATAGGTCAACATTTATATATTAAAATCTCTCTCCACTTGGCTGTGAACTTATCAAAGAATGGAAAGGTCATATTCATGTTGGTCTTCATGCCTCCATATCCTTGTTGTACCTATTTTTGTGGAGATTGAGATTTATAGAAGAGTGTTCCTCACTAATAAGACGCTCAATAAATGTTAGCTATTATTTTTTTAATTGTATTTGAGCATGGCCAATATACAGTGTTACATAAGTTTCAGATGTACAACGTTTCTATATGTTATGCTATACTCACAAGTGTAGCTACCATCTGTGTCCATACAACACTATTACAATCCCACTGACAGTATTTTCTGTTCCTTTTATTCCCATGGCTTATTCAATATATTTCTGGAAACTATTGTGTTTTTTTTTAAAGATTTTATTTATTCATGAGAGTCACAGAGAGAGGCAGAGACACAGGCAGAAGGAGAAGGAGGCTCCATGCAGGGAGCCCGATATGGGACTCGATCTCGGTACTCCGGGATCACGCCCTAAGCCAAAGGCAGACATTCAACTGCTGATCCACCCAGGTGTCCCTAGAAACTATTGTTATCCTAATTCTCATATTACTACCAGTAAGACTCCTAATTTTATTTCTGCAACCTATTTAGCACAAAGTATGTTC